TGGGGGAGGGCGCCTCCTGCTTCCGTCGCCTGCCGGGGATTCTCCGGGGCTGGCCCGCGGGGAAGTCCCCGGGCGCGCGGGGTACAAGAGGGCGGCGCGGCACGAGCGCGCCCCAGGCGGTCACCCCCGAGGCGGCGGCGCAGAGCTCCGGCCATGTCGCGCGGCCTCCAGCTCCTGCTCCTGAGCTGCGGTAGGGCCCGAGAGCGCCTGTGGCCCCCGCCCCCGCGCGAGACCCCCTTTTTGTCGCTTGCTCACGGCGCGCGCTCTCTCTCTCTTGCAGCCTGTAGTCTGGCGCCCGCGACGCGGGAGGTGAAGGTGGCTTGTTCGGAGGATGTGGACTTGCCCTGCACCGCCCCCTGGGACCCGCGGGTCCCCTACACCGTCTCCTGGACCAAGGTAAGCGCGCAGATGCCCGCGGGCTGCGGTTTGGTCGGCTCATTTGGAGGCAGCGGGAACCAACTTTCTTAGGCTGGAGACCCCGCGGGGTGTCTCTGGCGGCTGAGCTCGGAGTGCCCAGTCTTCCCACACGCCTCCCCCGGCCCATCAGCATCCAGCTGCAAGGCAGACTTGGGTTTTGTCTAAGAAGACCTCAACCCTCTCCCTGTCCCTAAAGGTGCCCTGAGATAAATGATCCAAATGAGACATTTTGGAAGGGCGGAGAACCGGTCATGTGGATTAATTCTGGAAGTCACCTATGGTTGTGGCCAGCAGGTCACTAGAAAGCTACATGGGCCCAGATCTGGGCATTGGACAGGAGGACTGTCCCCAGAGTTCTGCTTTCTTGTGTATTGTGACTGTGATGCCCACAAAATGCGGGAGGGGGAGGGGGCAGATTGAGAGGAAGGACTAAGAGGTACAAGTGACTTAGGCTGTTTCATAGGTGGCAGTTATCAGTGGTCATCCCCTTTCTGGGATACCTTCCCCTCTTCTCCTTCCTCTGCCAGTCAGGATAGGTCCTGCGATGAGGGCCTCCCTGAGGTGCATTGGAGCCCACATGTGCAAGGACAAGCGTCACTACTGTAAGAGAATTGAGTTGCATGGAGGCTTTCTTAAGGTTTCCTCTCAACAGGAACATTCTCAGATTCTAAGATTGCAATTCTGGTGGCATTCCAAAGCCACCGTGTGATACTACTGGTCCTTTGCCCCCTTCTTTAAGTCAGATTACTGCTACAACAGCACCTTCATTTTAAGCCATATAAATATGCTATCCCAGCCTCGCTCTGTGGCTCTTACTGATTCGCTATTTTACCTGGGAGGAAATCTCTGTGAGTTTGTAGCTTTCCACTACAAACAGAGCTTTCAATGCGGGGCTTTCTTCTTTCCACCGAAAAGATACTGTAAAAACCAGCACACGTGTCTGGCCATTTAGCAGTACAAGGAGGCATAGGAGCCATCTCTTTGTGTCTGTGTGTATGTGTGTGTCCTCTCGTAACTGGATGGTCAGTTCCCTGGGGACAGTGGCTGCACCACTGCTTTTGTGTATTCTGCATGGTGCCCTATGTTTGCCCTGAATTGCAACCATGCTCAGTGAGTTCAGGCTGGAACTTCCTTCATGAGTTATGCACAGTGGAGATGGTGCAGCTGCCTTGGAGCGCTGCCCTGTATATGAAATTAGATGTTAGTATTCCTGCCTCATTCCCACCTTATTTGCTGTGGAATCAGAGAACACAATTCCGAAATTGTCCTCCTAGTCAAAATAATAGTATTTTAAAAATATTCTAAAAACAGTATCCCTTGAGTGTTCACCATATGCCAAGATCTGAGGTAAATATTTACATTATCTGTTTCTATTCTTCCAATGGACTTAAGAGATCAGAATTATCACTGTTCCTACTTTCCAGGTGATGAAACTGAGCCTTAGGGAGGGAAATAACCTGCTCACTGCTACACAGCTGGCTAAATGGTGGAGTTGGGCTTTGAACCAAGCAGTCTGATTCCAAACTCTGAGTTGCTAGAAGTCTATCTTGATATCTCTGTTTTCCACCTTAATTACTTAAGGTAAAGAAAAGTGTCCCTGGGCTAGCCAGGGAAGGACTTGGTTATTTCAAAGAAGGGGGAAAACATGTAACCACTATCCCTTCCAGAGAGTAATTAAACAAAGAAAATATTATTAATATCCCCAGGGGAGTAATTAAAAAGTACTCATGAAACAAGTAGATGAAATTTCAGACTGTAAAGTTCAAACAGTTGTCAAGTTAATCTTCTTGCACAGGGTCGTTTGGAATGGTTCAGTAAACCATAGCAATTAACCTTTGACTGCTTGGATGTCAGCTGATGATGTAACTCTATAATGTATGTGCTTGTTTATTGGACACAGTCTCGCAAGATTTACCCTAAAGGTCTCTCAGAACTCTGTCAAAAAAAAAAAAAAGGCAGCAATGTTTAGGCATGCTCTTTTTTCTGGTAATCCATAGAATAGGGTCACTGAAAAATCATGCCATGGTCATTTTTTAAGAAGTAAACTGATTAAGATTGGCAGATAGGAGAGCTATGCTGTGCCGGTGAGCGAATCAGGTACCTCAAAAGTGATGTGTGTTGTTCCTTCAAGTACTTTTTAACAGGTCTCAGCATATTCTGTAGATATTTGTCATTTTCCAGCCCAATAATTATACTTTTGCATTGACTGGGCTTGTACAACAAAAATGGAGAGAAGGTTCTGGAAATAAGGCCAGTGGTGAAATGCTGAAATACTTCAGTTTACAGAAGATGAAGCATCTTGTCATTGCTTCTACAACTTTCTTGTAAAATGTTTCTGCAAGGTGGCGAGATGGCCATGAGGACTTGGATCCGGCTGGCCATGGCCACCGAGCTCATCTCCCCTCACTTCGTCACTACCTGGGCTTTGTAAAGCCCGTTTCATCTGCACAGGAGTGCGCTGGGCAGGGAACACAGAGTCTCCGGAGTGGGTTTTCACCGTCTGCCAGAATGAATCACATTCTTGCAGACCTTCTGCATAGCACAATTATGGTTATAATGACTCACAATCAAAAATCCCATTTACCACCAGTCCTCCAGCACCAGAGAGACTCCTGCCAATGTCCAACTGGCACTGATTACTTGTGGTTATCAAAGGGACTCGTGTACACCATGTGTTTTTCATCATGTGCCTTTTGTCAAAAAAACTCAAATCGGATGGCATCCAATTAGTGATTATAACACTAGGTGAGTTGGGAAGGAAGGACCTGTGTCAGTTTTATTCCAGCACCAGAGAGACTCCTGCCAATGTCCAACTGGCACTGATTACTTGTGGTTATCAAAGCGACTCGTGTACACCATGTGTTTTTCATCATGTGCCTTTTGTCAAAAAAACTCAAATTGGATGGCATCCAATTAGTGATTTAACACTAGGTGAGTTGGGAAGGAAGGACCTGTGTCAGTTTTATTCTCTGTTTCAAAGATGCAGCGAGAGGGGATCAGAGGAGGCTTAATATAGACAGGCACAGGAGGTCAAAGGTGAAGCCAAAAGTTGGCAGAGGTAGCCCAATTTCTGTTAACCTAGCTCTTCTTTCCCGTGGATCAGGATACTCCTAACTGGGATCCAACAAAGGGTCGTCCTCTCACCCCTTCCTCTCTTGAATCTTTTAAGGCAGAATGGGTGATAGAGAAGAAATAGAAAAGTTAATAAATGATTCATTAGGATCGTGGTTCAATTTAGCTTTTAAAGGTGTAAATAGATTGTGGTTCTTTGGGGAGGTATTTTGAGAAAATAGGCAAATAGACTTTGATCCATCACTCTCCTTCCACTGGCCATGGCTGTTGGTTAAATTCTGTCGTGAGAGGGTGTAACACAATATCTTGTCTACTGGGAGTAAGACCATGCATTGAAGGGCTGTGTCTGTGCTTCATGCTGAGTGTCACTGTGTCCACACCCTCTTTATTGAAGGTTTGGAGAGAGAGGACAGCTCTAGATGGATTTCTTTGGACATAGTTGGTGTTTGCCACTAAAAGTAATGAGTGGTCATTTGTGCCTTCTTTTATCATGGTAAGAGCCCTGGCAACCTGCGGTGATGCAAAATGAAAGAGGATGTATAGTGTCATCTCCTGGTGACGCTGTGGGAGTGAGGACAGCGATGCATCACCAGACAGGTGTTATTTTTAGATGACTTCCAAAGGAAGGGAGAAAGGGGAAGTAAGACTGTCATTTCAGATAACAGATCATACTTGAACTTTATAACATTTAGAAGAGCCCCAGCTGCGGCAGATCATGGGCCATCGCGTGGAGTGTTCTATCTCTGTCATTAACGATAAGGGAACTGTTGGTGAGCAGGGTAATGGATTGCATAAGGCTACTTCAAAATTTCAAGGATAGTCACCACACAGATCTCAGTTGTCCTTGACTCCTTACCAAGGTGTCTGACCTGTATGTTGCTAAACTCCTGTTTGGTGGAGTTTTATTTTCTGTCTCTACCATCTTGTGAGATAATGGGCTACAAGGCATGGGGCACTGTGCCTTAGGAGCGGCTGGCATTGATGAACATGTAATCTGTACAGTCACAAACCGTGATGGACCCACGAAGGAGCCAATGAGTGCCACTTACTGTGCGTACTTGATTCTGTGATGCCATCTGCTGTAAGACAGATTTAAGAATATGTGTTTAGGAGAAAAAGGAAACATTCCTACATTAAATATAGAAGCATTGAAACGTGAAAACAATGTGTGTGTTAGAATCAAAGAAAAGCCATACTGACCCCATTGGCACCTATACTACTTGACCTGGTTGAACCACTTTTATGGGCTTTGCTTTGGGTCAAACCATGGAAGATGTCAAGTTGGCTTTCAGATGTCTCTCACATTTACACCTCTATTATTTAGTATGTCTTCCTAAGTCCCAAATATGTGCCACGTCCTAGCATTGGCTATCCCAGTACTGATAAGGAGCTTTTACTGGAGGACCATCTGTAAGTGAAGTCTTGGAAATGAGAATCCACAAAGCCTTTCTGAGAACCAGTGGGGTAACTAGTGATCCAGAAGGGAGAATATACAGCAGAAGGCTGAGAGATAATGTTACAAAGTAGGCTATGGGCAGACTGCGAAAGACCTTGAATGCCAAACTTTAATGGCTTGAACTTTATCCTTTCAACAGTAAGGAGTCATTGAAGAGTGTTAAGCAAAGAGAATGACAGAATATGAAATGTGACTAAAGAGAAGCATATTTCTGGTGGTGATGGACAGAACATGATTCATTCTAGAAGACAAGTCTCAGAGGCAGGCTTCCTCCTTTCATTGCAGTGAAATTCCCATCAATTTACTCAACTAAGGCTTGGACACGTTCTTGGGAATTTCCCTCCTTTCCCTCCTGCTCACCGATCCTGTCTATGTGGTTCGCAGA